ATTTGACAAATGGGAGAATTGATGGATTGTTTTTTAAAAAGCTTTAAGAAGCAAGCATCAGCTTACCGTAGCATGAGCTCTCTTAACATGCCTCCAAAATTTCATCAGTAATAGAGCAAAGAGGTGAACACATTAGACCAGCGCTGAAGCAGCAGCCTGCAATTGAGGACCAAGTGGGGCGCCACAGTGAGCGGCTCGCCACAAGCCTCTGCACAGTCAGTGCCGGTGTTGGCATTTGAGGTGCCTCTAAGTGCTCCGAGGCCGAAGGCCCTGTGAGCAGTCAGCACATCAGCACTTGGCTCACTCAGCGGCACATTAGCCAAGGCTCTTTCCTGCCTGCTCCTTCCCTAACCGTGTGCTTTGTTGTAGCAGCTCCTGAGCAAGGGAAGGGAAGGAAGGCACTGCTCCTCTGCAATCGGTAACTGGGAGTGGGAGAGTTAACAAACTGAATCTTTTCAGTAACCATGAGATTAGGGGTCTTCTGAATGTATCTCCTGTTGAATTCCCCTCTCCCCGCTGTTTCCCATTTATTCTTTGTCTCAGCAAGTATGTCCTGAAGATCTGTTGTGATTTACACAATGAAAAATAGTGCTAGGCCCACAGAAGTAATGCAAAATAGCATCTCTGGCCTCCAGGAGTTGAATTTGGAGGGGGATGTAAGATGAGCAGCTCACTGGGTGCTCCTTGTGAGCAGCACAAGGGTAAACATCCGGCAGGGAGCTCCTCCCCTTGTTTACTGAGTGGCGACCAGAGGCCAGGCTCCAGGCCCTGTTCGAGGACAGAAAAAAATAGGACGACTCAGGCCTCACCACTAGAGCTGGGAGCCTGAGGCACTGTTACCCAGGTGAGGTTCCCCAGCACTTGCGCTGGAGTTGCCTGGCCGTTGTTTAAGAGGCTGAGGCATGGGCCCAGATCTACACAATCAGAATTTTATAGGTAGATCCTCAAATCTTAATTTGTTAGCACCCCAGGTGGTTTGTAAACACATTAAAGTTTAAGAATAACAACCTTGCAGAAGAGACAGGCAGGCGGACCCATTCTGTAGTGCCGTGTGTGCCGACAAGGGATTGTGGGACTGAAGAAAGGCAGCTGCACTGTGGGCTTCCGTGGGGTCACTCTGGCAGAAGTGGGGGGCACACACCCCCAAACCCTTCTTTGCTACCAGTCTAACGCTGTGTCCACACACTCAATCCTGAGGACCAACAGGCCCTAAAGGGGCGGGGAGGTACAGGAAGGGGCCTGTGGGGAATCGCCTCACTCGTGCAGATCTCTGTTGGAATGGCGCCCTCCCGGAGAGGCCCTCTGAACCCCCCCTGAAGGACTCTCTCGCCCTTCTCCTTCCCCTGCCTGAGTTCTCTTCAGAGCACCTCTCCTCTTCTGACACTGCAAGTCTTGTGTGTGTCTGTCTAGTCTTAGTTTAGAGGCTGGGAAGGACTTTGTCAGTGTTTGTTCACAGCTGCATCCTCAGGGCCTGGAAAAGTGTCTGGCTTATAGTAATACTCAGGGAACAGGTAATGAAGGCCCTAGGGTGGCCACTGGACCCACACAGGCCCAGGTTCTCCACTGCTCACATTTTATTGCTCTGAGAAACAGCAAGAATCTCAAGGATTCCTGTGGTCTTTCTCTCCCCTTTATGCAGACTGGAAATGCAGGAAGGAGCCCCTAGAACCCAGGCCATGTTCTCCAGCTCCCCTCGACCCCACTTCAGACAGAGGTGACTGTGCAGTATGCCCTGCCCTCCTGGCGCCTGAAGAGACTCTTCCTGATGGCTGCATCCTGGGGAGCCTCAGAGCCCATTAGTTTGATGGGAGGTTCCCCGGAGCATTAAGAATCTATTTAAGGAATTGAACAGGGAAGTGTGGGGAGGTGATGGCCTCATTGAGGAGGGCCAACAGCAGCCCCCAGGGAGGGCAGGCCAGGCCCTAGGAGCCCTTGCGCTGGGGAGGGTGGGCATGCAGTGCCCTGTCTTGACAGCAGTCCAGTCTTCTGAAAGCACTTTCACAAAACGCTCTGCATCACAGGTTAATGTATAAGACGCAAGTTGTAAGTGGAAAGTTGGCAAAGTCCTTTGGAAATTGGCTAAAGGGCAGGAAACAGAAGGTTGCAGTAAAAACCTAGAAGGATGTTAATTGGGGAGAGCCAGAGGGAATAGGGTTGAGACCAGCTTTTTATTATTTACATAAAAATTACTTGGAGGATAGTATTGAAAAGGATTTTCGTATTAGCTAATGAAGTACATCAGAGACGTGAGTGGAAATGTGAGCAGTAGAATTAGGGAAGGAAGGATCAGCTCACTGACAGAGTTGAAGAAGAGCACTTGCTAACATATTCCTATTTATCAGCCCACACCCATTCTGTTGGACAGATTTCCACTGGAGTAGTCAGAAGGACCATTTCAGCTTAAACAACTCACATCACTGCATTTTGGGGGCCAGCAGAAGGCAGTGCAGAGGTTCTGGCACCCCACATACAGGGTGGGCCAGAAATGATGTTACCGTCAGACCTGGAAACCTCTCTTGTAGAAGGACCTGGAAGGCAGATGGCATCTCCTATTTAGCTACAAGCATAAGCCTGGGCTGCCTGACATCCACATCTCTCCACCTCCCTTATCATTTTTAATCCTGTGAAGCTCAAATTATCACAGAAATGTACTGCAGATAATGCCCCAAAGAGAAGCTAGCAGGCTGTCCTGAGCACAGGGTCTGTGCAGGGGCAGCCACAGGGCAGTGAGCCTGGGCTTGAGGTGACAAGTCTAAGGGTGGCCATTTGCCGTGTCTAAAGCCCACCGATAGGGTCATCTGTGTGGGCATCATGGAGGTGTCCTTGTTTGCAAACCCAGCCCAGTGGGAGGACTCCTGTCCCGCCGTGCTGTTCAGCATGTGGTTCCCAGGCCTGCAGCGTCAGCTCCACATGGGAGCCGGTTAGAAATGCAGCCTCTCAGGCCCCACCCCACAACACAGATTCTGCAGTGTTTTTTTTTTTCACAGGATTACCAGCTGATTCCCATGCACATTAACGTTTGAGACATGCTGCTCTAAGCCACCCAGGAACCACAGGAAAAAAGGAAAGGGGATTTAATTACTTCTGTAGAGTGAAAACCAGACTACTTGCGCTCAGTGGTGTGAGGATAGACTTCTGGCATTTGGGGTTTCCTGGATTGCTATAAACATAAGATCCCCCTCTTGTTTTCTTTAATTTGGCCTCAGAAGACACAGTGCTTTCTCTAGAAGCATTTGACTTATGCCAAAGTGAACATGCTTTTTGAGAAAATGTTAAAAACCATCCAGTATACCCTCTGAGTGCCCTTCTCCTGAGTGCGAGCCATGTACTGGACCCTTAGCTAATTGCTATCTAGTTTGCGGGCCACACAGGCCTGGCACCTAGAGGCTGCTTTTCATTTGAGCTCATTTTCAAAAACTGCACAGGTACGTGTGGAATATTTTGCCGTATTATTCTGCTGCTCATAAGCTGTTAGTACACAAGGTATCACTGGCCTGGACAAAGTTATTAAAATATAGAGGGTTTGGCTTTCAAAGATGTGGATTTGAGCAGTCTGTAGGCCTCTTCAAATTGTATTGTCTCAGATGACACAAAGATGATTGTGTGATGGGGCACAGGGACACTTATCCTGTGCCTTCCTCCCTCCCTGACCCCTTCCCCTGGCCTGCAGCTTCCTCTCAGACCGATTTTATTTATTTATTTTTTCATTAAGGTATCATTGATATACACTCTTACAAAAGTTTCATATGAAAAACATTTTGGTTACTACATTCACCAATGTTATCAAGTCCCCCTCGCCCCCAGTGCAGTCACTGGCTATCAGTGTAGTGAGATGCCACAGAGTCACTACTTGTCTTCTCTGTGCTACACTGTCTTCCCCATGATCCCTCCCATACCATGTGTACCAATCATAATACCCCTCAATCCCCTTCTCCCTCCCTCCCCACCTACCCTTCCCCAACCCTCCCCTTTGGTAATCCCTAGTCCCTTCTTGAAGTCTGTGAGCCTCCCAGACCGATTTTAGAGCTGCTCTCTAGAATAATGAGGGTGTTGAGGGAGCTGGAAGATTGATGCAATTGACATGCCTTAGTCCTCAGCCCATGAGGTGGTGTAGGCAGGGCTGATTCTGCCCAGTTAGTAGGGAGTAGCAGTGAAATCCCAAACTCTTCTTCAGCCCCGCCAAAGGTGGGTGAAATAGGGTTGTGCCTTAACCCAAATAAGGCCTGATCTTTTCATTCTTACCTAGTTTTGCCAGGGTTACCCTGTTCTTTTCAAAGAGTTTAGGTGGATATTGAAATATCCAAGTCCTTCCAGGTAATAGAGATGAGGAAAGACTTAAAGTTGGCTAAGATACATTTTGGAGAATCTGACTTAGAACGTGTCCTTGGTAATTTAGGCTGGATTAAGGCTCCTCACACCTGAGTGCAGTGTCAGAGCCCCATCCTTACATGAAGTGAGTCTAGCCCCTTGGGCTTCAAACAGGTATACCAAAAGGTAACTCCAGTGAGCACATTCCACAAAGTGTGTCTCCTTAGTGCTAGACAAATACAGACAGAGCAACTTAAGGATCGTACACAGCCTTTATCTCCCGTATAGACTGAGAGCTCAAAAGCGGGCAGTCTATTGTTCATCTTTATACTTAGAGCACCTGGCAGAGAGGAGGCCTTTCATACATGTTTGCGGGACACATGTGCAAAGGAAGGACAGAAGCAAGCCTCTGGCAGCTCTTCTGCCAAGCAGAGTATCTGTCGTAAGTTATCGTTCCAGATATATCTCAGGCATTACGGTTCTAATGACTTTCTTCTTTGTCAACTATTAAGCCGATCTGTTGGGCCCCAGCAAGTCTCCAAAGGAGGCTGACCCTGCCACGAAGCTTGCTGTGTAATCTACACTGCATGCCTACAAACCACTAGGCTAGGCAGTTAGGAAATCAGAAGGCAGTTAGTTAGGGGGATAATGTGCTCCCAGCCTCTTAAGCAGGTATATTCCATTCTTTGCAGGTAAGAGTCTACGATCTCTCCAAATATGAGCATGGAACAGATGACGTGTTGATCTTGGCTACTGATGGACTCTGGGATGTTTTATCAAATGAAGAAGTGGCTGAAGCCATCACTCAGTTTCTTCCTAACTGTGACCCAGATGACCCTCACAGGTTTGTGCATTTCTCTGATGGTAGATTATTCCTCAAGCCTTACATAGTGTGACTGAAATAAATAATAATCATGCAATTTTCATCATTCGTGATTCATGTAGAACTGATAAGGATGGTTTAGGAACCAAGCTGTGGAAAGGACTACTTTTATTTATTACAGGTACTTTCATAGCCAAATAAAAGTCCTTATGTTGAACCTAGATGCACGTGGTAAAGAATTTGATTCATAAGTTATTTCAGCAGCATATGTTTCTCACATTCTTCCTTCCTTTCTTCCAAAGTGGGAATAATACAATTTGTGATCCTCCTGATGAGACTAAGAGCAAATGCTCCCAACACTGAATTCTATCCATTGGGAAATTGTTTCCTTTGAGAAACATTGGGAAAGGAGAGAAAGATTAAAGTAAGCATTCCTTGATAGCATAATGGCAGTGTAAATATCATAAACCCTGGGTGACTGTCAGAAATAAACAAATCTCCTCAGGAGAAAGGGGCTGCTCTGACTTGAAACACAAGGAAACAAGTCACCATGAGTAAAAGTCAGCAGAAACAACAGACAGCAGAGTCAGGACTCCAAATATTTCACTCTTGAATTTATCAGTAAAAAATACAAATATTTTTAAATGCTTCAGAAATGTTTTTAAGAGCACCAAAAATGTGAACAAGGGCAAGAGACTATAAAAATGATTGCACAGATTTTTAAAATAAGGAAATTGAACTTCTGGGGATGAAAAATACAAAAATAGGAATTAAAAATTCAGTGGATTGGATAGATTAGAGACAGTTAAAGAGAACAGCAATGAACTGAAGAATGTATCTGAATGATCCAGAATGTGGCTCAGCAAGACAAAGAGAAGGGAAAATACAAACTGAGATTAAGAGGCTAGGAAGATGACCTGAGATGCTCTAAATAAATTCCCAAAGGTAATACTACAGAAGCTAAGAAGAAAATGTTCCAGAATTGTTGAGTGATACTAAACTTAAGACCCAGAAAGCCCAGTAAATCTTAAGCAGAAGAAAAAGAATATTATAAATAGGTATCTCATAGTGAAACTAAAGAACTTTAAACAAACAAAATATATTAAAAGCAGCCATAAAGAAAGACAAAACAGATAAATATAAATAGCATTTAAACTGAAAGCTGACCTTTAAAAAACAATAAGAGCCAAAAGATAATGGAGTTATATCTTCATTTGGCTAAGCAAATAATAACTTTCATTAACATTAGTTTTTTTGACATATATAAAATAATTTTCATATGTAGTCAAAATGTCAGTAAAGAGGATGAAGTGAAGATGTTTTAAGGCAAAACCAAATGAGAAATTTTACTGCCAGCCAACATCCTCTGAAGGAAATTCTAAAGGATGGATTATTATGCTAGCATATTAATAAATATGTAGTCAATTTAAACATATATTGACTTTATACAAATGTCTTAAGTGTGGTATTGAAATGATAGAATTAAAATACTGAATTAAAATCGCGTGATAAATTGTCAAGGGGGATAGTGACAAGCTAAAGCATGCTATAGTACTATTTGAAAAAGGTTAAAAGTGTTCAGACTTAAAATGTGTTTAAATGCCTAAGAAAAGCACTGAAAGAATAGAGATTATAACTTTCAAATTAGGCAAGGGAGAGAAAATCCATATGAAGTAAAAATACAAAGTTCTAAACAATTTATAAATTATAATAAAAATTAGAAATTACTTAGGCTTAAATAAGAATACTATGTATCAAAACTTTAAAGGCTGAATTTTGAGCCATTTGTTTTTTTTATTTTAATGAGCTATCCATAGATGAGGGTTCCACTCATCCCTGACCTGCCAGAAGTGACTACATCCCCTCCCTGTCGTAAGGTAACTTTTTCCAAAGCTCCCCTACTGTGTCACTAGGAACCCCTGCCCATGAGCTCAGGACTCCTGACCACAGGAAAAAAGAGACCCTTAGCCAGAGAGAAAGATTTTCTTAGAGTAGACCTTGAGGACTGACTTATGCTACTGGGCTAGTTCTGCCTCTGTCACCCACAGAAACATGTCAAAAGGAGTTCTTGTAACTTCAGGGTCCTAAGGAGCCTAAGGAACGGAGCTGTCTCCTTGTAGGCTGCGTGTTCTTTTCCTGGGTGCAGGCTCTGTGTAAACAGCTGTCCTCATCTTAAAGTTTTTAGGTCTGTGGTCCGTAGTTCAATAACAGCATCTAATTTAGAAAATGCAAACAGCAGAATAAACACCAGAGAAGTAATGGAAGGAAAAATTAAAGATAAATAAAATAGAGAATATATATACAGTGAAAATAAATGATAAAACCAAAATTTATTCTTTAAAACAATTCACACATTATGGAAATGTAAAAAAAAAAAAACACACGCAATGAGATATCATCTCACACCCGTTAGGATGATAATTTTAAAGGGAAAGCAAAACAGAAAATAAGAAAATAACAAGTGTTAGTGGGAATGTGGAGAAATGTGACCCCATATGTATTACTGGTGAGAATGTACAATTTGTGGTTCCTCAAAAAATCGAACATGTAATTATTATATGATCCAACCACTCCCCTTCTGGGAATATACCCAAAAGAAGTGAAAGCAAGGACTCAAGCAGGTATTTGTACACCTGTGTTCATAGCAGCATTATTCACTATAGTAAAATGGTAGAAGCCATCCAGGTATCCTTTGATGAATGAATGTGGTATAAGGAAAATGTGAATGAGGAAAACTGGAATATTAATCAGCCTTAAAAAGGAATGAGATTCTCATACATGCTACAAATAATAAGCCAGTCACAGATGTGTATATGATTCCATTTATAGGAAGTATTAGAATAGTCAAATGTATAGAGACAGGGAGCAAAATGGTGGTTGCCAGGGGCTAGAGGGTGGGACAGTTAGTGTTTAGTGGGTACAGTTTCAGTTGGGAAGCTGAAAAAGTTCTGGAGATAGAGTGGTGATGGTTGTACAACAGATCTTAATGCCACAGAACTGTACACTTTAAAATGCAAAATTTTGTGTATATTTTATCACAAAAAAATAATTTACAAATAAAGAATCTTTAAAAACTAACAGTGGATAAACTTCCTATAAGATGAATTAAAAACAAGAGGCAGGGGGCAAATAAACAATATTAGGAATAAAAAAAGTAACAACTCAGATGCGGCAGCAACTAAATATAAGAGCATATTATGAATATAAACATATTCTTCAATAGGAACATTATAAAGACACTAATTCTCCCTAGATTGATCTTTAGATTTAGTACAGTTATCAAAATTCCAGTGGAACTTTCATGGAACTTACTATCAACAGTAAGCTGATTCTAAGATGCATACAGAAGAACAAAATGCCAAAGATGTTTGTGACATTGTGTATGGGTCTTACTCTCCTAGATATTAAGACAAAGTCAGAACAATTAAGACAGTGTAGAAAACATTAAAATTGGGTCATTCCTCCACACCATACATTAAAATCAAGTCCAGGCAAATCAAAACTTAAGTGTAAAGGTAAATGAATACAACTTTTAGAAACAGCATCAGAGACTACCTTTGTGATCTTAGAGAAGGGAAGGATTTCTTAAACAAGATACAGAAAGCACAAAGACTGATAACCTTGACTACATTAAGATGAACACCTTTGGTTCTTCAAAAATCAATATAAAGCGGGTAAAATGACAAGCCATGAACGGAGAGAGGGTTTTTACAACTTGAATTACTAAAGAGGGATTCATATCTATAACATAAAATGAACTCTCACGTATCTCAATGAAGAAAACTGGGCAAGAACCAAACAGCCATCACACAGAAGAGAAGTAATGGCCATTAAATATATTCTAAAAAACACTCAGCTTCAATAGTTAGAAAAGAATGAGTTAAAATTATTAGGAACAACTGCAGATGGATTTGTGATTTTGTAGAAAGACAAAGACTGCTTGGTGTACTTGGTCCAGTTGAGCATATGCATATCCTATAACACAGAAGTCCCACTCCAGGGTTCCGCTCTAGAGCAGTGGTTCTGAAAGTGTGGTTTGGGGGTCACATGACATCAGCATCATCTGAGAACTTGTTAGAAATGCAAGTTCTCAGGCCCCACCCCAAATCTCCCAAATAAAGCCCCTGTGGTAGGATCCAGTAGTTTGTTTTAACAAAGCAGATAATTCTGATGCTGCTAAAATCTGAGTCATGCAAAAAGAGAGTCACAGAATTGTTTTTATTACAAACACTGGAAGCAGCATACATGTCCAAACATAGGAGGGATAAACAAAAATTAGAATACAGCTCAAAAAAAGGAATGAACCAAAGTTGTGCTTATTAATGGGGAAGGATCTCAAAAACATAGTGTTAACAAAAAACACTATATCATTTAGAAATGCAGATACTAAAACTATAACAAAAAGCAGAATTATTAATCTGAAATTCATGATAATACCTTGGGAGAGGCGGGGAGGAGCATGTGCTTGAGGAGCGGCCCACAGTGAGTTTCTGAGACACTGGTAATGTTCTGATCCTTCAGCTAGATGGCAGGTACTTGATTGGTCGGTCATGTTATTTTTAAACTGAATATATGTTTATTTAATCATTTGTATGTAAACTATGAGGGGCAGCGCAGTCTAGTAGTTAATAGCATGGAATCTGGTCACACTGCCTGGGTTCAAATCCTGATTCTGCCACTTCTAAACTTGTGACCTGGAGGAATTTTTTAGCCTCTCAGTGCCTCAGATTCCTCATCAGTAAAATGGGGGATCCCATCGTACCGACCGTATACATACATGTAGGGAAGTTCCTGGTGTATAGCGAGCACTAATAGGTATTTGTTGTCTTTATTCTAAGTTTGTTGCTATTTGTGTATGCTTCACATATTTCACAACGAAAAAATTCCTCCAGAAAAAAAGGGGAAGCTAGATTGTCTTTCTCTTCCCAGAATTGTTTGGTATAATTTTGCTCAGGCACAAAGTAATTGGTGGTATTTAATGAAAGACTTTTATTTGGATTTAAATGTATTTTTCTCCTGTT